GATGATGATAAAGATAGTTTTGGTCTTTATGATGATGATGTTGATTATACTGATACAGGTGGTGATGAACAATTACAAACATCGACTAATCAAAATTCAATTCGTCGTGCAACATCATCAGCTAAATGGCTAACAAAAATATTTGCTGATGATTGTGTACAAAAATTAATAAATTTTTATGAACAAACACCATCATCAAATCTTTATTTTGATTATATAGCTACTAAAGAATGTCTTCAAACATATCAAAATGAAGATTATCTTGTTATACATTTAAATACTTTAATTACATTTTTCATTCATGTCATGTACATCAACAAGTACCCAGGCAGGGACAAGAATGGTAAAATGGTATTAAAATGCCTTCAAATCGTAATAAAAATAATGGTGTAAAACTGTCACAAAAAATGCCGATAAATGCTGTTCATATGATGCATTAAAATGATTACTTTGGAAGAAGTGAAAATGATTAGTTAATATACCAAAATAATGCTAACAGTAGAAGTCATTTTTTAACATCATTTCTGACCTTTTGTCTTGATAAGTATCAATTAAATACTTTTCGATAAATTTATTTAAATTTTAATTATTTATTACAATTTAAGTGATGTCTCTTTCGTGTTCGAAGATGTTCTTTTCAATGTTTGATTAAAATTGTATAAATAGAGTGGTCGTAGAAACAGGAACAGAACAAAATGAATGAAAAATAGAACAGATTATATATTTCTTTCAGCCTAATTTAACAGTGATGCGAAAAAAAGATTGCGCCTGCCTAGTCATTACACTTATCGTCTTGCTTTTCGCATCACTATTAAATTAGACTGAAAGAAATATGCAGTCTGTTCTATCTTTCATTCATTTTGTTCTGTTCCTGTTCCTACGACCACTCTATTTATACAATTTTAATCAAACATTGAAAAGAACATCTTCGAACACGAAAGAGACATCACTTAAATTGTAATAAATAATTAAAATTTAAATAAATTTATCGAGAAGTATTTGAGAATCACAAATATATTATTTCGGACTTTTTTCTTCTAATGATCTTTATTACTGTGTCTCAATAAGAATTTCAATGTTCGCACAAAAAAATCACTTCAGTCGTTGCTATAATGACAAAATAGTACTGTGATTTTCTGTTTATTTCAACAATGGAAGTATAGTGTGGCGAGTGTATGAAAGCAAAGTAGAGCAAAAACTCTGGGAAGTTATTTAAAATCAATAATATAAACTGATTAAAACAAATAACACAACTATTTTTCTTAGTTCATGGAACAATGTTAAGAATTAGATTATACGTTTATAGTATGCATCGATACTTAATTTATACTAATATGTCAGTCATAATACAAGATCTGACTCTCAATGTTATACCTATTTAAAAAAGAGATTGAATGTTGTTTGTCTTGATTAGGAAAATATTTAACATTATGGACAGAGATAGATTACCTCAACACATTTATTTCCGAAGAAACATGTTGAATGGACGATAGATTCAGAAAAGTCTCGACTATAAAAAATGAGTAAATGCTGTTCTTAGTATTATTTAAATTCGTCAAAAGTGTTTTTACTCATGTCAGATGCACAGGACGACATGTTACAGCGAACACGTCAATCTTTAAAATGAATTGAACTTATCTTCTCCTCTTCCTCTTATAGCTGTATCATTGTTCTTTATTCTGAGACAAAGACTATCATCAATCAATAAGAAGTAGCCAATCAGATATATTTGAATATAAAGAACAGAACGTTAAGAAAATGAATAAATAGTGTTAAACAGATCGCACGTATATGATATTATTAGATATTTTTATAATTAAACACGTAAATGAAATAATTAATTCCAATTACCTTAGGACAAAATTTGTTCAGCATTGGAACTGTATGTGTTTTTTTATTTATAAAAACCAATGAGATAGACTATAAATTTCGATTTTTCAGTTAAACTGCATTGGTCTCGTTTAACTACTATTCTTAAGCGAGTGTCAGATGAAACATTACGACAGCTTAGTAAAAAAGAAATTGCAGTTGATCCAAAGTGTTATTTTGATCTAACCAATAAAAATAGCTTTCTTTACATTAAACTAGCGGTGAACATATACATATAATAATTATTCATTTTGTCTAAATACGTCCATGGCGTAGCTAGTAAACATACATAATGTTTCTCTCTCTTAATCTCTTACTCTTAGGTACTGATCTTCCATAAAAAACAATATGAATGTTGATTCAACCAAATTAATACTTGATATATCTGCATATGTAGCGAAAACTCACTAATGCATAGTCAATTTCGCTATTCTTCTTACATTTTCAGGCATGTGCTTGACGATTCGTCTCTTCACATTTTGTGAAACACAATCCAACAGGAGTATTGAAGTGTATAGAGGCAGAAATTTGAACTCTCTTGCACAGACATGACAGATCGCGACAGACGCCTTAACTAAGGACCATCAAAGATTGCGAGAGACAGAATTGGTAGAACATCATAGACCGTGACAAAAATCTGAATTCCCACTTTTCAGAGACAACAGCTCCGTCGTGTTTCACATTTTAATCCCAAAGAGATTACGCTAACATCTTTTATTAGATCATTGATTAACTCTATAAAGATGGAT